CTGGCGTTGGAATTTTTCTGCTCCAGTGCATATTTGTTCAACTTCTGGARCTGCTTCTGAAAAAGGGAAAAATGGCTAAAACTGTGTAGAACTCATGTTCTTGAAGCCCTCAAAAAGGAGTGAGAGAATGGCTAAACACCATAGCAGCCTTCTACTTCATTTTGGGTGAAAATCTGCACATTTCTGGTTTTGAGGCAGTTCCATAAAATCTTAAAAGCAAGCATGAAGACAGTGCCTCTCTTTTAAAATGCAAGATAATCATTACAGGGAAACTGCTGCTATTAATTAAAATCCTATTGGGTGACTCTTCTACCAAAGGCAGTTTTAATAAAGTTCTGAAGTGAAAATGTTGCAAGTTTTATTTTTTTTTTTCATAAAGTTCTGAAGTGAAAATGTTGCAAGTTTTATTTTTTTTTAAACTAAAGTATTAGAGAATAAAGGATATTCATCTGAACCATCAGGGATGTACTTTTCCAGATACAAATAAGATATAAGGAAATGATTTTTTTTTTCCTCTTCTAAAACTTAATGGCTGGTTTCAGATTTTGTGTAATAATGTTGGTTTAAGACTTCACCATTTTAAATATTTCTTTTTTTGTCCTAAAAAAATGTGTAACCGTATATTAATGGTAACACAGATTTCTTGTATTCTGAGTGACAAATTTTCCAAAGCTCCTTTWCTCCTGTTTGTAAACATGACCAATGTGCTGAAAACTTTTGGAATTTTAGGGTTCCCCAGCAAAGTGGTGCAGTGCAGGCAGCTCTCAGGGTTAATTTGCTGGCACAGATCAATAAGAGAATGCAGAAACAGTGTGATTACAGAAGCTGAAGAGCTGGCCAAGTGCTTTGAATAATTGCTTGATGCTGGAAATTTTCCTTGTTTCACTTTACAAAGAGAGATTTTTGTTCGGTTTTAATCTCCAAGGCTGGAGGATTATATTAATAGTTTAATAATTTTTCTCATACACGAAACACTGTTCTACATCCAATTTYTAGAGATTCCTATGCAGTGCAACATCAGACATAACYATAMAAATAATTTTAAAAGCACCTTCCTYAYTTATGCTTTATTTTATTTTAGCAGATGGCAGAGAACACAAAGAAGAAAWTGGAACTTGTGTTTCTGCTTTCAAAATGCTTCAAAGAAGCATAAAATAAAGGATCTGGAATACAGTCCTCTTTATTTTCTTTGTAAATCACATTSACAGAGAATGTGTAAATCACATTCACTCACCCCTTAGTTTTGTAATCATGATGTTTGCTGTGGCAAAGCAAATATTTYCATATTCCAATCTATTCCTTTCCTTATTTGTGTTTACTGGCACAGACAAAGAAGAATGGTCAGCCAATAAGGAGAAGTCATCACATTGTAAAGAACAACATGATTTAATTGTTGTTAATTCATGGGCATTAAAATTCTGATACATTGTGAAATAGATAATGACAGAGAACACGACGCTAACAATAYTCTCCCATGAACAGAAAACAGCACAGGCTTTAATCCAGTTCTTAAGCTGCATTTTGAAGTTTTTATTCAAGCACCTAGCTAGCTTAGTTGAAAATAAGAAAACATCCTGACATTTGACATTACAAAAGGAAATGGAGTCATTAGCTGTAAAAATAAATATAATTCGTGTCTTTTTGTCCGTTTGTGCCCACTTCTCAGGTAATCATATATATATTTTTTACGTTTTTTAATACCTCCTTACATTAGAACTAATTTTATTTTTTTTTTTTTGCATACTTATTTTCCACATAAGCGTATTTTCGCCAGACTATCCGATTAGCCGCTAAAATAGCACGTAACATCATATATCAAATACACAGACCTAAATCCAGCCTGAACCCAAATTAGACTACCGAGCTCCTCGTGAGCACCCCTGTGACTCCACGTGTGGATTCGCCATCCCTACCAAGCGATGCCTCCAACACCAAATCAGAGGCGGAAAAACCGCGTAGGAAAACTCAACCAACTGTGGTCACACACCAGCTTGGGACACCCCAAATCCTCCTTTCCCTTCTCGTGCTGCCAGGCTGSGGGGTTCCCTGGGTGGGTGGTGCAGAGCCTGCTCAGCCACCGTCCCGGGGTTGCCCTGGGGTTTGGGGGATGTTGGAAGCAAGGTTGGGGTGGAGGACGCGACGGTGCGGACACAGAAGGCATAAACTAGCGCAAAGCTGGAGATTGCTGAGATTTAGGACCTGACCAGCCATCTCCAGAGCGTTGCAAGGTTGGGGAAAGGCTGGGATTGCCTTTCCAGCAGTGCCTTTGGTCTAGCAGTGAGGGCACTTCAGCCAGCCCCAAGAGTGGGGTTGGTTGTGTACAATTTATTTTTGTATTTTTTATTTTTTTTTAATGCAGGCAAAATATAATCCCCATTCCTGCAAAAAAAAAAGAAAAAAGAAAAAAAAAAAGGGATGTGTCTGGGTGAAACCCATTGAGGGAGAGGTACAAAAAAAAAAAATTAATGAGGGTCTCTCCACCTCTGTGCAATAAGAAAACCAGGCAGCCTCCTCCAGATGTGGCAGATCTTTGGGGAGGGTAGAGCCATCTGTGTAAGGCTCTCCTCTTTACAGCAACTCTGGATCTAGCTGTGGTCATTACTGGGATATCCTCTATGGCATTTCCCATCCCATAACCTCCCTTCCCAAACTTCAGAAAAAAAGCTATAGAATAGTCTGCATTTTTTCAAATTTTTCTGAAGGTTGGATGGAGGAATGGCATGCATTCCTCTGGATCATGGTCCACTCTTGTACACTCCAATCCTTATCCTGGTTGGATATTTAACATTTCAATTTCCATTCCCATTTTCTTTTCTCCAAATGTTTCAGAGAAGGCTCTGAATGGCCTGAGAAAATGTGGGAATTAAAAAATGGCTGTTCAGAAAAGGCTGCATGGGTTTTAAGGACTTGACCTGTAAGTCTGGTAAGTCTCTATTGCTAAGGGATACTGTTTTGAGAAAATCCAATTCCTAGTGGGTTAAAAAAAAAAGGGGGAAGTTTTGGCACTGAGATTGCTCCATCTGTAAAGCATGAACAAATATCCACAGAGGATGTGAATATCCCCAGAAGGATGGAAATTTGCTTCTGAGCTCAGAGGGGACGAACTCCAATAAAATCAGCATCTTAGGCTACGGCTCCTTTCCGTATTTTGCTCCTGGTTTGCTCGCAGAGTCTCAAAACAGGACCACAACCACTCTGGGAAAGAGWTTTATTTACTCACATCCAAAAAACAGCTACACCAAACCATTCAGGGAAGCAAACAGGTTGTGTCCTGCTCGGATAAACACCACCCTTCCTCATTTGAATTGTGGAAACGGCGGGCAGCTGCAAAATTTTGCGCAAATACGAACGTTGGTCCTCGGAATCTTTCGCGGTCAACGAGCGCAGAGTAGGAAAAAGAGTTCTCCATTTTTAAGTGGTAGAACCAAAACCAGATAGAGAACATCAAGAACTGCCTAAGAGAATACCSGAGACCAAGATGTTTTTAAGCACTGGCCTCACTGGCTTTGTTATCTTTTTTTTTTTTTTTGGATATCCAGCTTGAGACACCATAAGTGGAGTAAATTCTCAGAGAGCCTTGAGCACCTGCTCTCTGAAAAAACTGGTTGCATTAAGGTATCTGAAGATGAGCACCAAGAATTGCTGCATCCAAAGTGAGTTTGCATTAGGAAATCCCAAAAATTCCCTCCAACCGGTACTTAGGGAGGACCCAGTGCTTTAGGCAGCTCTGAAAATCCTAGGCACCATGCACAGTGCGTGTTTGTCTCTGACACTGGCAGATTTAGGTAAACATCTTCTGCCTAGACCACTGCAGATTTAGTGAAAAAAAAAATGTATTTCAATAGCTTCATTTTCTGTTAACTCTAAGGAGGACTAACTAAATAATTCTGGGCTAGCGATACTAGATTATTCCATTGATAGTTTAAAAAACAGATGCACTTTTCAGATACAAATAAGATGTAAGGAAATGTTTTTTTGTTTTTTTTTTCTCTTCTAAAACTTAAATGGCTGGTTTCAGATTTTGTCTAATAATCTTGGCTTAAGACTTCAYGTTTTAAATATTTTTTTCTAACTTTTATTTTTCATGATGTGTAAATAGCTAAGAAATATTAAATATTGTWATGTTCTTTAATTAAGACAATAACATTTCAAAGGCTAATGTAAAATCAAGCTGCTAAAGTTTACAATTTCTCTGTCCAGCAGTTCAGTTATACAACTGCCCTGAGTAGATGCTATTATGCTGCTTAGCAAATGGCCTTTAAGAGTTTAAAAATAGCTCAGTAAAGCTACTCAAAGGTAATACAACACTTCTCAGGCATCTTTAATTGGAGTTAAGAAGAAAACAGAGTTTTCTCATTAGCTAATTATTCGCTCAATGATTTATACACAACTAAAACACAATTGAAATGTTCAGGAGAACGAATTGTGCTTCTTCCTATGTGTGGGACCATGAGCTTATTTTTCAGAAAGGCAAGATTTTAATCATAAAACTAGTCCTGTTTTTGTGGACCGTTTTAGCTGCTTTTATTAAACTCTGTTGTTCCCATGTGAACCAGTGAAAACAGTTATTTGCTAACATATATTGTTGTGAGGTTTCTTCGCGAAACCCCACTGATCCCCTTTAAACAAAAAAAGATTGTTTTGTTTTAAAATTCCTGATACAATCAATTTGCAGTGTTTCTCAAACTGGTACAAATATGTAAAATCTGTGCTTTTAAAAGCTTCTGCTTTGAGTAGCCTTACACTCCATAGTTGTGCCCTAGCAATTGTCAAGCTCTATTGCATGCCCCATTCATGAAAATTATACTTTTTTTTTTTGGGATGACATAGCTTAAAGAATTTGAATCTAAAAGTTCCGTACCTAGAGCTCCCATTAAATTATATTAATTTAAAATATCTATGGAATGATATTTTCACAAAAAAAAAAAAAAAAAAAAAAAGAAAGAGTAAAACAAAACAAAACCAAACCAAAAACAAACCAATGGGTTGAGGGTGGGGGGAGAGGGTATCTATGAAAAATGACTCTTTACAGTAAGTAAAAGAGGTTTATCACAGTTTTGGTAGCTTGCATGAGTTCATACCGAAAAAAAAAACCAAAAAAGAAAACCTTTCACATGCTCTCAACCACCCTTAAAAAAAAAAAAAAAAATCTCCCTCAGTTGTAGGCCCTGAAGCAGTAGACACCGTAAAGCTTGTGCTTCTTGTCGGGGAAGCCCACGGTGCGCACGGCTGCCTCGTTGGGGCTGCAACGCTTCCTCGGCCTCGCGATGGGGTAACGCACGCTGCCGTCCGCCAGCCAGCCCGCGTCGCACCGGTCGTAGCCCAGAAGCTTCCAGGCGGCGAAGATCTGCCCCACCTTGGCGATCTGGGCGCCGTCCTTCTGGCACGCCGCCACCGCCTCGTCGTAGGTCAGCTTGGTGGGGTGGATCAGGTAGTAGAAGCGGCCTGGAGGGGTGGGAGGAGGAAGGAGGAGATGTTAGCGGAGCAAAGGTTGGGTTCAGCCATCCTGGAGCTTTTTTCTATATTTTTTTTTATGGTTATGATGGTGTTGCCTAAAGATTTTTGCTTTTTACATATTTTTTGTATATTCGTAGCTCCTGTTATTTTTCTTACCCTGCTCCATACATTAATAAGTTTCCTACCCTTTCTCCTACATTTTAGAGTAACAAGTTGGCCTTCTAGCACATTCCTGAAATAATTTTTAGTCTTRTTTTCAAGTAGAGGGCCTACAAGAAGACATAAAGGCATAGAAGCCCTTGGACCAACCCTGGGCGAGGTTATTGGGGCAATKGAATCTCCTGTGGGATGCATCCTAATTAATTGATCTTWTAAAAATTGTAGAAATTCAATAMCCTTAGCCCATAACTATGACTGCAYCTGGAACTTTCCAAAAAAGAACTGCTTTTTTTATCTTAGAATTTTAGTGCTCTTGCAAAGGTTTTTTCTCTTTAGATTCCAGGCAACAATACTACAATGCTGACTTTCGAGGAGAAATGGAGATGCTCCACTCAGTGATCATGTCAAACAGTGGTTAATTTAGGTCTGTGCCAGTGGGAGGTGAATTTTTTGGATGGTGAGCTCATAAGTAATGGAGGGAAAAAAAAACCCAAAACAAACAAACAAAAAACAACCCAGATTCAGAAAACTGGCTATTTGAACAACAAAAAATGGTAATGCTATGTTTCTTTCTGTTAATATCAAAGCATGGTTTCCAGAGTGGAATTTATAAATTTATGCTTGATGATGGCATTTAGGGGAGGGCAGCTGTAGGTAGCACATATTGTTTTGCTCCTTGACAAGTGGTGACCTTTTTTTTTGACTAAAAACAAGTATAATTTGTTTTTTTTTTGTTTTGTTCATGCTTTTTTGTTTGTTTGGCTTTTTGGTTTTGGGTTTGGGTTTTTTTGGGGGGTTTTATTTTTTGCTTTTTTTTGGGGTATTTTTTGTGAGAAAACTAAGGTATTGAACAGCTTCTCAGAAGGGGAGTTTGAGCCCGTGGGAGAGCAAAATTTTGTCTGTGGTAAGTCTTCACCAGCARTTCTGCAGCTCTTTTTCTCTTCAGACATCACAAGGTACATCCTCACCACAACGTGGCACTGGACTGACAGTGCTGCTGATAAAAATGCTCCCTGTCCAAAGGTAATGAAAATACATGCCAGAAAATAAAGCCCCAAAAGCCAAGTCTCCCTTACCAATCCATAATCAGCAATAATATTAATATTGATTCCATTTACCAAGGCAATAAACTTTCATTGTAAGCATTTCATTCATTATACTTGGGGTTATTCATCATCACTGGTTTGACAGCCAAGTGGACTGTGGAGCAGTCGTGTTTCTTTGAAGGCTTAATAATTTCCAAATAAATTCACCACTTTTCAATCTGCCTGCTCCTGAGCAGGAAAATTAGTTGAAAAAAAATGAAGGATTTTATTGTTTGGATATCTTCTAATTCCAGAGAACATTTTTTACTGTTTAATTAAGAATGCTCTCCAGGACAATATCCATTTTCTGCCTCTTAAAAACCAGGCAAAGACACAGAACTCTGCTCAGTTTGAGGTAAMTTTCTGGGTGAAGAAAAAGTGGTGAGCAAGCTAAGAGTTATGTCAGCTTCAGATTCCTGCAAAAATCAAACAGGTTTTTTTTTTTTTTTTTCTAAATTGAGGAAAGTCGGGTCAGATGACAGCATAAAGATAATTGAATTAACCCTGCCTAAAGGTTGGAAATTGTATATCAAGGCAAGAACAGATTAAAAAAAGGCATTTATAGCTGAGGTGGAGAAGGAACGTTAAAAAACACTTCCTTGCTGTCAGAGACAATATCTGCAGAATTTCCACAGAAAACTACAGATAATCCATTATCCAGATTTTTAAATCCCTTTGTAAAATGCTCTGTTTAACTCCATTTCGACAAGATGAGARCATTTACAACGGGCTGCTAAAGAGAATATTTGCTAAGTGGAAACCTGTTAGGAGGTTTCCCCAGAGTAAAGAGGATTTCTGATTTAGGGGAGCAGGGGTTTGGACTGATAGTGTGCAAACTTCACCAAATTTATGTGTTCCCCTTCAAACCACATGTCAGTGGAATGTAATTTCCTAGGGGTTTGCAGTGAGGTCAGGCTTTTGACATATGACATCAACAATAAAAACTCCTATACCCTTCTCCCCTCCTCAAATACGAGAAATTTAATAGTAAACCCCACAGGGGAGCAGTGTGTATCCAGAATGTTTGATTACACAAAATTCCATTAATAAACTCCGCTCAGRTTTGAAGTTATTCTCCTGATAATAGGTGGGAAGGGTCCCTAACTGCTCAACAYCAGTATTTATTAATTGATGTGGAAATTTGCTATTTCTCTCTCATTAATGTCTGTCAGCTTCCACAGAGGATGACCCTGCTGGATTTGACACCTCACCATGGGTCAGAGGGTTTGTGAAAACCCCCTCAAACCCCACCTGTAACAATTATTTTAGGATTTTGCCTCAAAAAAGAACAGCCTGAAGAAGAAAACTCCAGCCATTGACCTAAATACCCCAAACCCTTGTGGCTGTGGGAGTTTGAGGGATGAATCACACTTGGAGATTTCTTCCAGCTCAGTGCTAAATTGAGAGGTTTATTGGTAAGTTCTTCTTGTGGGAAAATAAAAAAAAAGAAAAGAAAGAGGCTTAAGAGCTGGTAAGTATTTTGACATCCAGTGATCATCTCAAATAGCTGATTTTGAATTAAATATGTGGGAAAGATTTTTTTTTTTTTTAAACATGCCAGTACCAGTAATGATTCTGTTGAGTCAGAAGCAATAAAGGGTGCGTAATTTAATTTTGGGTTTGTTTCTCTTTTTGGAACAGCGGCTACGTGTTCCCAGAGATAAAACACCCTGGAATAGTCAAGTGAACAGTCAGCACTATTCAGCCAGGGCTTTCCACAGCTTTCTCCCATTTAAATGGCAGAGCTGGCTGGCTTGTCACAGGCATTGCTGCAATAAACAGGTGGCTCACAGCTGTGCTTTCAACACGCTCTCCAAAATTTATTCTTTGTGTTCCTAACTTTGTTAACACGAGGTTTTTRCTTGATTCTCCTAGAGCTGATGAAAGATCAGTTATGCACTACAGTTCTGTGGAAGATGGGTATTAACAAGCAGAAATTGTGATGCAAGCTCTGCTTATATCTTGTTTTATCTTCTTTGGGCAAGAAAATTATAGAGGGGCTGATAAATATATTTACATTTAGCTCTTTTAGCACTTCTCAGAAATACTCTGATGGATTTTCTGTCAAAAAAAAAAGCACTGATCGCCTTCAGGAGACCTTTGAAACTAAATAAAGGAAAACCATTTAGCCCTTTCATTACATATTCCTTACAAAAAAAGGACCCTAACAAAAGGATTCATCTACATTTATTTTCCCAAATTGACCTTCTGGAGGGATTGCATGGAAGAGGAGCATCCCCTTTCCTTGGTATGAGGCAAGGAAAAAAACTGGGGTGSTCTGCAGCCCCAGAAAAGCTTTGGCTGTGAGAGAAATTGGCTGTGAGAGAGCAGAGCTGAACCCTCAGACTCCGGGAAATTCCAGTGTGGAATTTCCAGATTTGARTCAGATGCTCCCCACTTGTGCACATTCATTTTCAACAGCCTTTATCAGCACAAGGAATGCAAAAGCAGATTGGGAAACATATTGCCATCCWGGGCAGGCAGAAAATGTTTTGTTATTTCACAATATTTTGATGGATTTTGTAGATAGCACTGGGCTGGTGTTACTCTTTGGATTGTTTTGTGAAACACATCATTTTATATTCTTATAAACTGTTATTTTGCTGGTACTACCAGATAAAAAGGGTATGAAATGATTTCATGGTTTTGGACACAAAACATGAGCAAATCTTGTATGTACCAACAGAAAGATATGAGTGTAAATCAGATACACAGGCAGAACAAAATGTGTAMATATTTAATTTGCCTATTTCATAGTATGATAGAGGGTAATTTCACRAATTAACAAGATTATTTGATACTGCAGTTTTGCACAATTCCCTGTRCAAGTTACAGAAATGCATGTAAAATTTTTTGCTAATTGTATAATCCCTATATTTTATACAGTTTTTGGTATATCCAGGCCATCATAGACAGGATTCAATAATTCCAGACTGAAAACAGTGAATCAGGATTTTAATTCACTGCATGGATGATGACAGTTTCATTTTTTTACCTTCATGGCTAAATTCCATGGCTTTTACCTTTCTTCTTCAGTAAGAAGAAGCTCTGCACGTATTTCAGACCAAAATTGTTTGGTTTTAGTGCTGAATTGTTTGAAATGGAACTCTTTGTTAAAAATTATTTTATTTTATGATCCCTGAGATCACAGTGTATTTGGGGAGTTTCTTTCCCTATAGAGAAC